TTGGGTTCATATAAATAAGTTTATATCCATTGGGTTCATATAAATAAGTTTATACTCATTTGGTTCATATAAATAAGTTTATATCCATTGGGTTCATATAAATAAGTTTATACTCATTTGGTTCATATAAATAAGTTTATATCCATTGGGTTCATATAAATAAGTTTATACTCATTTGGTTCATATAAATAAGTTTATATCCATTGGGTTCATATAAATAAGTTTATATCCATTGGGTTGATATCAATAAGTTTATATCCATTGGGTTGATAAAAATAATTAATTAACATGCATTTCTTACTGATGTCTTTTATCCCGTCTGGGCCATAGGCTGTCTACATGACTTTTCCATTCATCTCGATCCTGTGCTTTCCTTTCAAAGTGCTTCCAGGGGTATCGCATACTTTCTGTGTCTGCCTCTAACTTACGTCTCCGTGTATTCTTTGGCCTTCTTCTCCTTCTTTTTCCCTGTGGATTCCTTGTTAGGGATTACCTTGTGAAGTTATCCGGGGGTTTGCGGAGAGTATTCCCCTTCCTGAATCTTTTCCTTACCATATCTTCAGCAATAGGCGCCTGGTATGTCCTTTCCGGTAAGTTTTTGCTGGTGATAGTTTTTGGCAATTTTATGTTTAGGATCTTTCCGAGGCAATTGTTTGTGAAGGTCTGTATTTTCTTTAAGATGCTTGCTGTTGTCATCAAAGTTTCGGCTATAAATATTTGAGTTGAAAATTTTGATCTTAGTTTGCAAAGTCAGCTCCTTTGACTCCCACATTTTCTTTAATATCACAAATGGTGACTTAACCTTTTCAATTCTAGCCCTAACATCGGCTTCGGCTCCACCATTTTTGTCAATAGTGCTACCCAAACACGTGAAGGCCTCCAATTCTTCTAGGGCATTTCCTGCCATAGAGATGTGTTTCTTGTTTAGTTGAGTTAATCGTCATTTCTGTTGAGTTATAAACTGTGCTAAAATGGCGGCAATTTTTGTTTTTTGTTGTTGTTGTAATTTTCCTGAATGTGTTGTTGGTTGTGGGACAGAAGAGTAAATTTCATCAGCAAAGTCAAGGTCATTCCAACATTCACCCTTGACACGGGTCATCAAAGGCAAGCTCAGTTTCCGATTGATTAAAACCATCAAATGACGTCATTAAAAAATGAAGACTTTTTTACTCAAATTTTTTTTTTTTTTTTGTTTTTGTTGGTCCATTTTTTTTTTTTTATCTTCTTACTTAAGTTTTTTTTTAAAGTTTCCGATTGATTAAAACCATCAAATGACGTCATTAAAAAATGAAGACTTTTTTACTCAAATTTTTTTTTTTTTTTTGTTTTTGTTGGTCCATTTGTTTTTTTTTAACCTACTACTCAAGGTTTCTTTTAAACATCCATACTTTGCAAACAGTCCTATGGCTTTTTGTCTGTTTGATTATTTGTTCTGTTGTTGTTTCTTATTAGTTGTGATGGACTATTTGAACAGTCTCAGATCTTGTTTGGACAAACGTGTCTAGAAAGATCCCAAAAAGAGAGGTGTGTTGGGGATAATATATGTTTATATATATATATATATATATATATATATATATATAATTGAGGGCGGCAGTTTTGCCAAATGCCAAGTTTATCGTGGTGGGGGCGGTAAATGTCTTTGCGCTCCCCGCGTGCCACTAATCCTTGTTTCGCCACCTAGAAAGACTGCAATCCTCTGATTCCCCCCCACCCCCTTTTTTAAAAAAAACTGTCTAATTCTCAATTACTGCTAGAGACAACAGCCTTGATATTAATTCTGGCTTTCGTCTTACCCACGGCTACGCCATGCTTTCTTGTTCCCCAGTTAAAGCCAACAGCACGGCCTGTGAGACCAGAGCGTTGGTCGAGCAATGTCCCAGGGCGCATACATGCGTCGAAAAAGATGGAAAGCCGTCATGCGAATACGACTTTAAGTAAGCCTTTTTTTTTTTTAAAGACGTGACGCATGCTTGAACGTTTGTCACTTAGAGATTGAGATGCTGTGTCGTGAGAATAACGCATTAGATTTTAAATGAAGTTTACATGGTTAAACTATAAGCCTATGAAAAGAAGAGCCTGGCTGACTTGACAACTAGTTCATGCTTCTTTGTTTCGTGCAGGGATTTTCTATCAAGTGGGTACCCCATTATTATAACCATCAACTATCCAGTGCCACCAAGTGTCGACTTGAGAGTAAAAAATGACAACTATACAGACCTGGAGAACATAGCATATGAAGCGGTAAGAATATAAATGAAATAAAGTATACAAAATAAAAAAGAGACTAAAGTAATATACATTTTTTTAAAGATATAAAGAATATTTCAATACTGATGGTTTTTGCACATACTGTATATAAATATAGAGAATATAAACATATAGGGCCTAAAGAAAAAAAAAAAAGGACCTACATAAAATATAAAGAATACAACAGTCTTAAGCTTTTGTATAACATTTCATCAATTCCATAACATTTTTTTTACAGATAGCAACTTAGTAACCATTTATTTGATATATTTCAGTTGAACTCGACATTTAGGAAATTGATAGATGACTTGGAGGATATTTTAATCACGGAAATGAGGTAAAGGGGTGGGGGCTGGACGTCGTGTGAAAGAGTAATGTGTTGGATTAAAGAAATATAACGGCAACTTTATTTCGTTCATAATACTAAAACAATAATAATAATATTCTTACACGGAACTTGCACATTGGCGGTGTAATTCATACAAGGAACTCAACAAAACAGCAGTAAAAGACTATCAAACGCTGCAAGAGATTTGAAACGATACCACAATGTAAATCTCGGCTTACACAGTTTTTAATATTCAGACACAACAGATTACTTTTTCTTTTATTATTCGCACATATGTGATTATTATCTTTACAGATTTATAGTCTTAAATCTACAATAAATTGTCTACCCCCTTTTTTCCTCTTCCAAAACCTAATCTGCATTTAAATAATAAAAGAAAGCAATACCTCTTTTCCAGAAATGGCAGCATCATTGTTAATTTTACCATGGCGATAAATAAGAGTCACGAGACCGACATTGTGAATGCCATCGCTATCGCTTTACTAAATATTTTGAAGAACGGGTTAGAGATTAATGGTACAGTCCACAACGTAACAGCTTTGTCATTCGTGGGAAAAGCACGTGAGTAGATATGGGAAATTTGCATTTGTGTTGTTGGTTGTTTTTCTTAGATCATTGGTGAAAAAATCCGTTCTCATGTTTGTTAATTTGAATTATTAAAGTAAGTCGATTATAGAAAGTTTTTACACCCCCGATTAAAATTTTATATCAGAAAATAGAATTACTGGATAGCAAACCAATAACACTAAAGCCGTACACCGTACTTCTACATATGGTAGATCATTTAAAGGAGGAAATTTAGATGCGTCTGTTCGAACTATGAACTGGTCATTATTGTCTGGTAGCACTAATGAGCTGCTCATTCCTGCCCAAGACAATCAAGGACTGGAACAATCTTTCAAAAGGAACGGTTGAGGCGACAACACTAGACACATTTGTGTCTATTGCCTCAAGCCTTCAAACCCCTAGTGTATGATTTCCTCATCAACACCAGTAACAGAAACATTTCAAATCCCATCTATATGCATAGGAGCCAAAATGATCAATAAATTGATAGTGGGCCCTTAAGATATAGAAGAAGAAGAAGAGAAAATAAACATGACGTTAGATAACTGCTTATTTGTATTTCACATTTTATTAATGTTCGAAATTTATATTTTGATTATTGCTATATTTTACGTCTCAATCGATAGCGTTATTATTTTCATAATTTAATTTTATGCTAATGAACTCTCCCTAGTCTACCCCAACAGCAGCCTATGTGATGTATACACTGCGAAAATCTCGTGTCCATACGGCTGTGGTGAGACGAATGACACGGCCTATTGCCGGTAAGGCTCCTTGCTTCTGAGTAGCATTTCCGTAGTGTCCTTGTTATTTTATTGAATGAAATAGGCATCAGAAAATCCCAGGAACCAAGTCCACGGGTTTTGTCATGGGCGTCACACTTGATGAAAAGAATAGATGGAGGAAAGAGGGCATTCGAACTGATTTCATAATTAGAAATTACCTTAAGTTTCACTGATATTACTTAGGTACCTGGTAATAGCACATAATTTGGATACAAAAAGAAACAAAGTATCTTTAATCCAGGATAAGTTAGTAGGCCTACAAAACCCCTCTCCACTTTACAACAATTTTTTTCTTACTAGATCAGGAACTAAAGAGATATTCATAGACCAGAAAATGACTGTTGATTTGAAGTTAATTTCTAAACGTGTTTACGTGATCATAACTTTAATAAGCTGAGATCAAATGACAAGTTCACTTTTCTATTTTGAAAAAAAAACACACGATATTTTGTGCTCTAGTTTCTGGGACATTTCAGAAACAGTTTATGCATTTATGTCTGATTGTTTGTTTCCCTTAAAAAATCTGCTCCAGTTTTTAAATTAACCAAATTTTGCGTAATGTTACGGAAATTTGTGTCGGAGACATTGCTTAATCCATGTTTCAAGGCATGGTTCACTTGAAGTCATAGCTGAAGCTATTGTTCAAGCTATATCATTTAGTTGTCATTTGAACTGTTTTAAAAAAAAATTAATCTTGCTGCTCATGACTTTGGCGCATACAAACTGTAAACTACTGGAATAACTCTTTCTTTCTTTCTTTTTTTCAGATCAGATGACCATAGCCATGGTGAGTAACCAAATAGTAAATTTTTAATAGGATCATTTAAAATCAGAATTTACATTAAAATAATAGCTTATTATAGAATTAAATTAAATGACTCTAACTTTAAGCTAAATCTGCAACATACAAATTTTGTCTGTATCATAATTCACCGAATCCCAACCTTCATCTCCTCCCCACAAAAAAAAATAATTGCTTGTGAATTATTTATAATAACGGAACATCCATCACTGACTCTGAATTCAACTACACATCCTTTAAAATCCAGTGAAGCCAACTCTGGAAGTATCTTCAAGTGGTACAGTGCAACCATCTTGGACAGTACCTTTAACTGATACAGTACAACCAACTCTGGAACTATCTTCAAGTGGTATAGTGCAACCATCTCCGACAGTATCTTTAACTAACACAGTACAACCATCTCTGGAAGTATCTTCAAGTGGTACAGTACAACCAACTCTGGAAGTATTTTCAAGTGGTACAGTACAACCAACTCTGGAATTATCTTCAAGTGGTACAGTACAACCATCTCTGGAAGTATCTTCAAGTGGTACAGTACAACCATCTCTGGAAGTATCTTCAAGTGGTACAGTGAAGCCAACTCTGGAAGTATCTTCAAGTAGGATAATGCAACCATCTTGGACAGTATCTTTAACTGATACAGTACAACCAACTCTGGAAGTATCTTCAAGTGGGATAATGCAACCATCTCTGACAGTATCTTTAACTAACACAGTACAACAATCTCTGGAAGTATCTTCAAGTGGTACAGTACAACCAACTCTGGAAGTATCTTCAAGTGGAACAGTACAACCAAATCTGGAAGTATCTTCAAGTGGTACAGTACAACCATCTCTGGAAGTATCTTCAAGTGGTACAGTACAACCAACTCTGGAATTATCTTCAAGTGGTACAGTACAACCATCTCTGGAAGTATCTTCAAGTGGTACAGTGAAGCCAACTCTGGAAGTATCTTCAAGTGGTACAGTGCAACCATCTTGGACAGTATCTTTAACTGATACAGTACAACCAACTCTGGAAGTATCTTCAAGTGGGATAATGCAACCATCTCTGACAGTATCTTTAACTAACACAGTACAACAATCTCTGGAAGTATCTTCAAGTGGTACAGTACAACCAACACTAGAAGTATCTTCAAGTAATACAGTACAACCAACTCTGGAAGTATCTTCAAGTGGTACAGAGCAATCAACTCTGGAAGTATCTTTAACTGATACATTACAAGCAACACTGGAAGTATCTTCAAGTGGTACAGTACCACCAACTCTGGAAGTATCTACAAGTGGTACAGTACAACCATCTTGGACAGTATCTTTAACTGATACAGTACAACCAACTCTGGATGTATCTTCAAGTGGTACAGTGCAACCATCTTGGACAGTATCTTTAACTAATACATTGCAACCAACCCTGGAAGTATCTTCAAGTGGTACAGTGCAACCATCTCTGGAAGTATCTTCAATTGGTACAGTGCAACCAACTCTGGAAGTATTTTCAAGTGGTACAGTACAACCATCTCTGGAAGTATCTTCAAGTGGTACAGAGCAACCAACTCTGGGAGTATCTTCAAGTGGTACAGTGCAACCATCTCTGACACTATCTTTAACTGGTACAATACAACCATCTCTGGAAGGATTTTCAAGTGGTACAGTGCAACCAACTCTGGAAGCATCTTTAGGTGCTACAGTACAGCCAACTCTGGAAGCATCTTCAAGTGGGATAGTTCAACCATCTCTGACAGTGTCTTTAACTGGTATAGTACAACCATCAACACAGACAACAGTGCAAGTTTCATCCAGCGTGTCCACATCAACCGATCAACAAACTGAGGCGTTGACATCACCTGACTTGACCACAACGACAGCAGCAACGCCTCCGTTTTCCTCCATAACCAGCCCGACGCCAGCCAGCACAGCTGAACCCGGCGCATCCACGGTGAACCCATCTCCAGTCAGCAGCATCATTTCAAGTACACCATCCACATCTGTACCAACCACGACAGCTGCACCGACCACAACAACTTCACCACCATCCGTCATCAGACGTAAGTAGGATAACACCTTCGCGAAATTTTCATTTAAAATTGCGTTTGTAAATCTCTTTTTTTTTTTTGTTGTATTTTTTTTTTAGATTTTGAAAAGATTTTTAAAAAAGTGGGAGGGGAAGAATAATTAACTTTTTACAAATAATTTTGTTCTGTTTGTTAAAGTTTGCTACTATGAGAAGGGCACGATGTTTTAATGAAAGAGCCCATTTACAAATGTATTTCTAATATTTAAATAATTTTCATTTGAGAATGAGGACACACAATCCCCCCCCCCCCACACACACCCTCAACCGGGCATGACATAAAGGACCATTTAAAACTTTTTAAATTCCATACTTGTGTCTTCCTCCCCTCTTAACTATGCTTACACTCGTACAAACGTTTTCACCTTTACAAAAAAAAAAATAAAAAAAAAAATAAAAAAAATAAATTATTATTTCAGTTTTATATCAAAATGACAGTTTTTTAATTTATTTCTGTCCTTGGGACCTTGCTGATATAATTTAACGCTTCGCGAATATCAGGAGCAGGAGTGTGTGGTTTTAGCCCATGGGAGTATTCCATCCCATCTCCCACTCACACACCTAAACACACTCACAAAGCATTTCCTACAACTTTTATATTCAAATGCAGACTTAAAATCTCATTTGCACCATAGATTATCGACTTCTATACCATGGGATAGGTTCATGAAGGAAACAAAATATTTTCGGAGAGAAAAGAGCGCAATGGGTTGGTCCGCTTTCCTATCATTCGTGGTTGTCATGGTTTGGCTGAGTAAACATGGATCGGATGACGTTATCGTAAATTGAGAGAAAAGAAATTACTCAGAGTAAAATTATACATTCTATTAAAAAAACTATTTCAGTGGGTCTGTTTTAATTAACCCTACTTAACTTAATGGAATTGGAATCGAGTTTAGAAACAGCAGACAGGATTTTGTAACTAACCAACATTGGCAAAAGTAGGCGGTAACCACGGGCAAGTTACTCTGTTTTACAAATATTTGAACGTTCCCAATGGGAGTCGCTTAGTCGATTGATTTGTCACGTGATGAGAGTAAAAACGAGTAAGACTTCCGGTAGGATGTATACAACACACTAGTGCTTGACAACAGTACCCCGTTACACACTACAACTAGTAATTCAAGATGCCTGGGCAATTTTCGGCTTTTGGCTGTTCAAACAGTCAAGTTAAGGACAGCGGTATAAGTCTGCATAAGTTTCCCTTTAAGGATAAAGAAAATTTAAGACAATGGCTTGACAAAGTAGACCTTCGTTAATTTATTCCATGAAATCTTGTTCCAACCGGTTATTAAAAAATTCCTTCGCCGCATCAATATTAAATAAACACGCAAATGACGTCATGGGTATGCCGACATTTCGTCCAATGAAAATTAACAATAAAATAAACAAAGGGGAATGACTCCTGCACAAATGATTGAATAAACACGCACATGACGTCATGAGCATGCACGGAGCTCAACAACAGCCTGCCGATGATAGTATTGATAGTTCCCATCGAATAACGCTCACATATTTTTCTTGAAATAACTTTATTCCTTTAATCATAACTGACGTATATTTATTGTCACATTTATGTATTTCCTTTAAAAAACGCGTGTATTCCAGAATATTTTGAAAGGTAAAATTTTTAAGTAACATGACATTGGGGAAGCACTGATGACGTATCTTTTGTTGTGTGTAGCAGCCTAGTGATGGCTTACTCTCATCACGTGACCAAACAAGGAAGTGACTAAGCGACTCCCATAGAGCGATTCCTCTCCAACACACAGAACGCTTCCTTTACAACGCTGAAATCTTCAAATACATATCGCTTTTTAATTTTTACTTCCTTTTTCTTGCTTGTTTTGCCTTGTCCGCTGAAGGGGTCGTCTAGCAGAAATGCCCTTATAAATTATCTTGTTCCGCCATTTCTACACACGTCTTGAAAAGTGTATCATTATAGAATGATTATTTGTAGCATTGTAATAAATTGTCATGTATATTATAGGACAAAAGAACATAATCTTGTCATACAATTTGCTAAAGCTCGCTTATTGATGCAAAGGTTTTACAAAAATATTCTTTAAACAAGCAGTTAAAAAAACACACGTATACTTTATATCAATGTTTATCTTTCATTTCCCAGCATTTGTATTGCCCAATATTACAATCACATTCAATTTCAACGCGACGAATTATAATCTTGCGGACACAAATGGCAACGATTACAAAAAACTTGAAAATGAGACACTCCTTTTGGTAAGTGTTAAACAAAATTGCTTCAGTAGTCTTAATAACGAAAGCATAGGAATCAGAGTTTGGGTTTAGGGTTTTAGGTTAGGGTTTAGGGTTGGGTTATTTTAGGGTTAGGGCTGTTTTTTTTAAAATTTAGGGTTAGGGGTTAGGATTTAGGGTTTTGTATTAGGGTAAGGGTATATCGGAGTGTTGCGTAAACCACTTCACTTAAAAGAGGGTAGGAATTTGTTTTTGAAAAATATTTTATCGTGTAAATTTAAAAAAAAATAAATAAATTATCAAGCGTTATTTTGTTAAGGAAAATAAGATGGCTTAAGAACATCTTATAAGGCGGCTTAAGATTTCACTTCAGATTTTTCGGGGGGGGGGGGGGGGGAAGGGCCCCCGTTTGATTTAAAAAATATGATTTTGGTGTTATAATTCTTTAAAAAATTACATCTTTTCAACTATGCCATTGGTTTATTTTTACAAAAAGTTTAAATTTTCTTATCAAAGTCCCTACACTATTGGCCACTATTAGCGGTGCTGACTCTAGCCTCTGGTATGAACGGAATATTAAACATCAAACAAGCTCAACGCGCGAAACAATCGATTAATGCATCGTGATCGTGTGAAATTCGGGAAAGAGAATTACTTTTATTTCAGATTATGATCCGGTGAGTCACAAAATCTGGCAAATTCCGAAATCCGGTATATTCCGGATTCCGGAATCCGGTTGTCCCGGATACATGTAAATCCGGCGGAACCGGATTTCACCGGATAGTGCAAAATCCGGCGGAACCGGATTCCGGACCGGGGTCCGGCACACCCCTAATAATTAGGCTTAAGAACATCTTATAAGGTGGCTTAAGAACATCTTATAAAGTGGCTTAAGAAAATCTTACAAGATGGCTTAAGAACATTTTGTCTCTATCAGTGTTCAAAATTTTTTATTCTGCTTGCATAAAATAGATAATTGTAATTTACTAATATTATAAAAAAAAAAATTGAACCAAAGACTTGCCACGGTCAAACTCCCTTGTTTTTTGTTTTCATTTTAAAAAGCTGATCAAGTTATGGTTCGACACATACTGTAATCTAATCTCTTTTCTGGTATTGTTGTAACAGTTGATGGCAAGATTCCAGGGCGTCAGAGGCCTGAGGCGTATCGTTATCAAAAGTTTGAGGTAAGGTCGAATGATAGAGAGAAATGAATGTTGACCTGTGCTGCTCTCGTACAGTGTTTCGTTCATACATTACCTCCGGGGGAGGGGGAGGGAGGGGAGGAGGGCACATTTCAGATGTTCGGGTGGGCAGGGCCAGTGGCCAAAGGCGTAGCTAAGGAGGGAAATGGGGGTGAATGTCCACGGGCGCCAGATCAGTGGAGGCACGAAAATGTGCTTTGGGGGTGGTGGGGAGGGTATTTAATGGATGAAATTAATGGGTTTAAGAGTTGAATTATTTTTTTTTAATGGTGGGGGAGCGGAAGAATTTTGACTGTGGCGCCAAGTCTAGCTACAGGTCTGCCAGTTGCGGAGGAAGTATAGTGGATGAGATGGTCCGCCCATGTGTCACTCTTTCATTATATTTAGGGGCGGCATTTTTTTAAGAAAAAAAAATGCAGTTTATTTTGTGAAAAGGGGCGTGACGAAAAAAATCTTTACTGACCCACCCATGGCGGAAATAACATTAGCTACGCTTACAAGGCAGTGTACCGGTACCAAAATTGGCGATTAAGGCCAGCCGGACTCGAGTACATTTTAAAATTGTGCTGATAACTATATTTTTTAATCATAATACAGTAATACTATTCATAATTAAGACCTATCCCTCCCTACTTAAGGAGTCTTGCATGGAATCTGCATGGTACCTGGAGAGTGAAGTTGAAAATAACGCCAGAAACATGTCGGGATACGACTACGTATTGCAGTTAATGGTTGTGAGGCATTGGTGGGTGATGGCAACCCATGCCGATGATTCTATCATACAGCCTGTGAGAGGACTGTCCCTAGGCAACCGTTTCGCCCCAGCTAAGACGTGACATAATCACAAAGTAGAAGCCACGTGTAGAAACCCTATTAGAGGGCGTCTGACGCCACTCTGGGATGGGAAGTTTTTTTTTATTTCGGGATGTTAAAATAAATCCATAGCAACTCCTAGAAAGTTTGATCGGTGTTCCTTTGTTGGTGTTGCCCCACCTTCATGGTCAGTTAAGTGGAATCCAGGTGGGGGCTATTTCAGCGAAGAAGCACCTCCAACGTGCTGCTTCGCGGCCTAACTAGTCAAGCGCTGTTCGGGTTGAGGGGGAAAGTGGGGTATGGGGTGGGGGAAGTCCTAATGAACTCTGACTTTACGGTCTTCTGTTTTTTCTTAGGAGATTAGATTTGATACTTAGCAAAGAACTATGTTAAAATTATAGACCTTGGAATTGGTGTAATGGTAGTTGAATACCGTGTTGCCCCAAGTCAGATATTTAAAAGAAACCTAGAGTAGTAGGTTAGAAATATAAATGGACAATGTCTTAGGCCCCCCACTCCATACTTAGAAAATAAAATCAAAGATATTTTTTTTTAAAAATTTATAGTAACTGCACTTGAAAGCGTAAAACTTTTTCTCTGCGTAGTGATGCATTGAAAGAGCTTGCCATTTCTTTGTGTCTCTACTCATAAGATATTAATTCACAGACAAGGAAGCTTGATTGTTGAGTTTGAACTGCAAGCTGATGAAGCCGGTACCGAAGATGTCGCTGCTCAGGTGAGCCAAGCGCTCAAAGGTCTCTTCACGCTGGAGAACGTGACACTGGATAACCAGCAGATTACAGTCACAGCTATAAGTGTTAATAAAATAAACTGTAAGCATCCGTTCAACCGTCTGGTTAATATAAATAACTTTATATCCATTGGGTGGATAAAAAATAAGTTTATACCCATTGGGTTCATATAAATAAGTTTATACCCATTGGGTTGATATAAATAAGTTTTTATCCATTGGGTTGATAAAAATAATTAATTAACATGCATTTCTTACTGATGTCTTTTATCCCGTCTGGGCCATAGGCCGCCTACATGACTTTTCCATTCACCTCGATCCTGTGCTTTCCTTTCAAAGTGCTTCCAGGGGTATCGCATACTTTCTGTGTCTGCCTCTAACTTACGTCTCCGTGTATTCTTTGGCCTTCTTCTCCTTCTTTTTCCCTGTGGATTCCATGTTAGGGATTACCTTGTGAAGTTATCCGGGGGTTTGCGGAGAGTATTCCCCTTCCTGAATCTTTTCCTTACCATATCTTCAGCAATAGGCGCCTGGTATGTCCTTTCCGGTAAGTTTTTGCTGGTGATAGTTTTTGGCAATTTTATGTTTAGGATCTTTCCGAGGCAATTGTTTGTGAAGGTCTATATTTTCTTTAAGATGCTTGCTGTTGTCATCAAAGTTTCGGCTATTTGAGTTGAAAATGTTGATCTTAGTTTGCAAAGTCAGCTCCTTTGACTCCCACATTTTCCTTAATATCACAAATGGTGACTTAACCTTTCCAATTCTAGCCCTGACATCGGCTTCGGCTCCACCATTTTTGTCAATAGTGCTACCCTAACACGTGAAGGCCTCCAATTCTTCTAGGGCATTTCCTGCCATAGAGATGTGTTTCTTGTTTAGTTGAGTTAATCGTCATTTCTGTTGAGTTATAAACTGTGCAATTTTTGTTTTTTTGTTGTTGTAATTTTCCTGAAAGTGTTGTTGGTTGTGGGACAGAAGTGCAATTTCATCTGCAAAGTCAAGGTCATTCCAACATTCACCCTTGATACGGGTCATCAAAGGCAAGCTTAGTTTCTGATTGATTAAAACCATCAAATGACGTCATTAAAAAATGAAGGCTTTTTTACTCAAATTAGTTGAGTATTTTTTGTTTGTTTGTTGGTCCATTTGTTTTTTTTTAACCTACTACTCAAGGTTTCTTTTAAACATCCATACTTCGCAAACAGTCCTATGGCTTTTTGTCTGTTTGATTATTTGTTCTGTTGTTGTTTCTTATTAGTTGTGATGGACTCGCATGCCTCAATGAACAGTCTCAGATCTTGTTGTGGGCAAACGTGTCTAGAAAGATCCCCAAAAGAGCGGTGTGTTGGGGACAATATATGTTTATATATATATATATAATTGAGGGCGGCAGTTTTGCCAAATGCCAAGTTTATCGTGGTGGGGGCGGTAAATGTCTTTGCGCTCCCCGCGTGCCACTAACCCTTGTTTCGCCACCTAGAGAGACTGCAATCCTCTGATCCCCCCCCCACCCCCTTTTTTAAAAAAAACTGTCTAATTCTCAATTACTGCTAGAGACAACAGCCTTGATATTAATTCTGGCTTTCGTCTTACCCACGGCTACGCCATGCTTTCTTGTTCCCCAGTTAAACCCCCCCACCCCCTTTTTTAAAAAAAACTGTCTAATTCTCAATTACTGCTAGAGACAACAGCCTTGATATTAATTCTGGCTTTCGTCTTACCCACGGCTACGCCATGCTTTCTTGTTCCCCAGTTAAAGCCAACAGCACGGCCTGTGAGACCAGAGCGTTGGTCGAGCAATGTCCCAGGGCGCATACATGCGTCGAAAAAGATGGAAAGCCGTCATGCGAATACGACTTTAAGTAAGCCTTTTTTTTTTTTAAAGACGTGACGCATGCTTGAACGTTTGTCACTTAGAGATTGAGATGCTGTGTCGTGAGAATAACGCATTAGATTTTAAATGAAGTTTACATGGTTAAACTATAAGCCTATGAAAAGAAGAGCCTGGCTGACTTGACAACTAGTTCATGCTTCTTTGTTTCGTGCAGGGATTTTCCATCAAGTGGGTACCCCATTATTATAACCATCAACTATCCAGTGCCACCAAGTGTCGACTTCAGAGTAAAAAATGACAACTATACAGACCTGGAGAACATAGCATATGAAGCGGTAAGAATATAAATGAAATAAAGTATACAAAATAAAAAAGAGACTAAAGTAATATACATTTTTTTAAAGATATAAAGAATATTTCAATACTGATGGTTTTTGCACATACTGTATATAAATATAGAGAATATAAACATATAGGGCCTAAAGAAATACAAAATAAAAAAGAGACTAAAGTAATATACATTTTTTTAAAGATATAAAGAATATTTCAATACTGATGGTTTTTGCACATACTGTATATAAATATAGAGAATATAAACATATAGGGCCTAAAGATAAAAAAAAAAGGACCTGCATAAAATATAAAGAATACAACATTCTTAAGCTATTGTATAACATTTCATCAATTCCATAACATTTTTTTTACAGATAGCAACTTAGTAACCATTTATTTGATATTTTTCAGTTGAACTCGACATTTAGGAAATCGATAGATGACTTGGAGGATATTTTAATCACGGAAATGAGGTAAAGGGGTGGGGGCTGGACGTCGTGTTAAAGAGTAATGTGTTGGATTAAAGAAATATAACGGCAACTTTATTTCGTTCATAATACTAAAACAATAATAATATTCTTACACGGAACTTGCACATTGGCGGTGTAATTCATACAAGGAACTCAACAAAACAGCAGTAAAAGACTATCAAACGCTGCAAGAGATTTGAAACGATACCACCATGTAAATCTCGGCTTACACAGTTTTTAATATTCAGACACAACAGATTACTTTTTCTTTTATTATTCGCACATATGTGATTATTATCTTTACAGATTTATATTCTTAAATCTACAATAAATTGTCTACCCCCTTTTTTCCTCTTCCAAAACCTAATCTGCATTTAAATAATAAAAGAAAGCAATACCTTTTTTCCAGAAATGGCAGCATCATTGTTAATTTTACCCTGGCGATAAATAAGAGTCACGAGACCGACATTGTGAATGCCATCGCTATCGCTTTACTAAAGATTTTGAAGGACGGGTTAAAGATTAATGGTACAGACCACAACGTAACAGCTTTGTCATTCGTGGGAAAAGCACGTGAGTAGATATGGGAAATTTGCATTTTTGTATTTTTTTATTTTTTTTTTTAGATCATTGGTGAAAAAATCCGTTCTCATGTTGTTAATTTGAATTATTAAAGTAAGTCGATTATAGAAAGTTTTTACGGCCCGATTAAGAGAAAATAAACATGACGTTAGATAACTGCTTATTTGTATTTCACATTTTATTAATGTTCGAAATTTATATTTTGATTATTGCTATATTTTACGTCTCAATCGATAGCGTTATTATTTTCATAATTTAATTTTATGCTAATGAACTCTCCCTAGTCTACCCCAACAGCAGCCTATGTGATGTATACACTGCGAAAATCTCGTGTCCATACGGCTGTGGCGGGACCAATGACATGGCCTATTGCCGGTAAGGCTCCTTGCTTCCGAGTAGCATTTCAGTAGTGTCCTTGTTATTTTATTGAATGAAATTGGCATCAGAAAATCCCAGGAACCAAGTCCACAGGTTTTGTCATGGGCGTCACACTTGGTGAAAAGAAGAGATGGAGGAAAGAGGGCATTCGAATTGATTTCATAATTAGAAATTACCTTTAGTTTCACTGATATTACTTAGGTACCTGGTAACAGCACATTATTTGGATACAAAAAGAAACAAAGTAGCTTTAATCCAGGATAAGATAGTAGGCCTACAAAACCCCTCTCCACTTTACAACAAATGTTTTCCTACTAGATCAGGAACTAAAGAGATATTCATAGAACAGAAAATGACTGTTGATTTGAAGTTAATTTCTAAACGTGTTTACGTGATAATAACTTTTATAAGCTGAGATCAAATGACAAGTTCACTTTTCTATTTTGAAAAAAAACAAAACGATATTTTGTGCTCTAGTTTCTGGTACATTTCAGAAACAGTTTATGCATTTATGTCTGATTGATTGTTTCCCTTAAAAAATCTGCTCCAGTTTTTAAATTAACCAAATTTTGCGTAATGTTAGGGAAATTTGTCTCGGAGCCAATGTTTAATCCATGTTTCAAGGCATGGTTCACTTGAAGTCATAGTTGAAGCTATTGTTCAAGCCATATCATTTAGTTGTCATTTGAACTGTTTTTTTTAAATCTTGCTGCTCATGACTTTGGCGCATACAAACTGTAAACTACTGGAATAACTCTCTCTTTCTTTCTTTTTTTCAGATCAGATGACCATGGTGAGTAACCAAATAGTAAATTATACATAGGATCATTTAAAATCAGAATTTACATTAAAATAATCGCTTATTATAGAATTAAATTAAATGACTTTAACTTTAAGCCAAATCTGCAACATACAAATTTTGTCTGTATCATCATAATTCACCGAATCCCAACCTTGACGTCTCCTCCCCTCAAAAAAAAATAATTGCTTGTGAATTATTTATAATAACGGATCATCCATCACTGACTCTGAATTCAACTACACATCCTTTAAAATCCAATACTGGTACCTTTGTGTCACCAGAAAAGTTGATCATCGGCTTGGCTGTGGGGATCCCCCTCTTTGTCTTGCTGTGCATTGCTGTTGGAATCTCCGTTGGCATTTGGACAAGCCGCAGAAAGCGGAGAGGGAATTTCCTGGCATCGGACGATGGAGATGAATCGTAAGTAAAGCTCAAGATCCCGTATCAAAATCAATTGACTTTACTCTTTTGCGGGGAGTGCCGTTGAGTGTAACGATTTATGCATATCTAAGCCAGGCACTGGCGAAGTTGTATGTACTTAAGTTTCTTTATTTTGAGTTTTCAAATGATTTTGGGCGATGCAATCTTGAAATCAGGAAACCATTTTCTTTCTCTAATTTTTGCATTTAAAAATAAAAGACTAACCATATAATTTGTTGCTGTTTTTGTTTAGCAAAATTGGTGCCGTTTTTGCCAAAAACATCATAACGAAGCGGAGCAACTGGGAGGGCAAAGATTTCTATGATGGAATGTCCCATGCATCATCTGGGTCGGGCTTCCATAAGAAAGATGGCGGCCCTGAGTTCAAAGAATCCCCCTGGTACAAAGCGGCCAAAGAGCGGGGTGAAGCAGGTGAGTTGCGAGATGTACACTCCAGGTGTACCTGGTATTGTAATCAGTAGTGACGTAGATGATTGACATGATAGCATTGGTGTATGAGATTTATGCTTAATTATATTGAGATGCAGAATCATTTATTTACCAGTCACTAGGCTACACAGATTTCTCTAGGTATGAAGGAAGGTATGATGTAATGGTGAGTTCAAAAGAGTGCAAAACCAACATTCTCAATAACTACGCTACATGAGACTCTTAAAAACATACAAGTGCGTGTGCATATTATTATTTTTTTACAGAAATAGTCTCAATTTCAATATGATGTTATAAATCTGCTGTATATAAGGGGTGGGACTATAAAATATTAATACAGTTCAGGGATGGGAAAAAAAGTGTGAAGTGGCGTATACACAAAAGTGTAAAGCACTAATTGGATTCTTATTTTGCATGTTTTGTCAAATAACTTTAGTAGATGAGAAATAGCCACCAACGGGGATATTCTGAAAACAGAACGTTGTTGCAAAAATTCTCTCCCTTAAAATCAAATGTGTTTGTCTTTATTCATGTTCAATTTTTAAAGGGGAAGTAATTTCATATTTCAACATGCAACACTATCTCTCTCCCTTTCCCCCTCTCTCTATCTCTTTATAAAAGGTTTTAATTTAATTTAAAAAATATTTTCAATAGTTAAATCATATTTTCTTTATCACAAATACAGAGATATAACTAGGAATATTCACAACCTGAAGTATTAAAATCATATGTTATTTTACAGGATCAGGAGGCAACTTCTCATGGGACTTTTTGTACAAAACGTTGGAACCACTCGGAGAGGTAGGTGACTTTATTTAAAAGGATTTCAATTTATGGGGAAGAAATTAGACTAATACTTAGTTCTCATGTTAAAACACTCTGGCTGCCATTGATCAGTAGTACTGTCTACAACTGTTGGGTGGTATTGTCTGCAACTGGTTTGTAATGATGACTGTAACTGTAACTGGTCGGTAGCACTGTGCTCTCATTTTAATACACACTGTCTGCCATTGGTCCGTAGTACTTTGTTCTCATGTTAAAACGCACTCAAGGTTTTTTTCCTCTTTTTTATTTTAAAAACACCCCTCCAAAATATCTTTAAATTCTAGGTATCACTAAGAATTTACTCAGTTGGTGTTATATCATTATAAAAAATATTATTATATGATATTATATAATTATTATATATATTATATAATTATTATATATATTATATAATTATTATATATATTATATAATTATTATATATATTATATACTTATTATATATATTATATAATTATTATATATATTATATAATTATTATATATGATTTAATATAATTATGACATTATATAATTATTATAAATGATATTAAATAGTTAATTATATATGATATAATTATATATGTTATTATACAGTTAATTATATATGAGATGATATAATTATTATATATGTTATTATTTTATATAATTATTAAGTCGTTCATGTTTCTCCCACCAGGATTTTAAGATTCAGAGACCAAAGATAACACTGGTAAGATATCACATTTTGTTTAGCCTTGTTTAATATTGTGTTTGTATTCACCCATAGTTAACAAATATTGGAACAAATCAAGTTTAGGCTTGCTTGTAAAGAAAACAACAGAACAATTCAAAGGACGTTTCGGTTAAATGCCTTTTTCATGAGACAAGACACGAAATAAAACATAATTAAAAATGAAAAACTTGTGTTCATTAGCTGATCATTATTTCATTTACACCTACTCTACATATTTTAATATCTTTTTCATTTACACCACTTACTCTATTTTACTATCTTTTTGATTAACACCTACTCTATTTATTTTACTCTCTTTTTGACTCACAGCTCTTGCCCCCCCACCCCACTTTTTTTTTTTTTTTTTTTTTTTTTCTTTTTTTTTTTACACTTTTAACAATTATCACATTAGTAGTAAATATTGCTTGGACATCTTTGATGTCACACTTCTTCCCTGTCATCACAGAAACTTTCCTGAACAAAATCTCAATGTCCGCCACCCAAGATGTTTGCACTTGTTTGTTTACGTTCCTGAAATAGAATAGCTTATACCTAGTGGTGTAACTTTACCAAATGTCATCCAGGGTAAAACTCTCAAACGTGCGCCCCCACACAATGCTCATCATTTATTTCATGTTCTATACATTCCCTAAAACATTGCTACAGAGATTTTAACCAGTCTTTTTATATTTTTCTCATTGCAGGGGGTCACTTCTGATATCTAGAGGGATCTCTACTGGCAAACAATACTGTTTTTTTTTGTCTTACCTCATGCATGTTGGTCGATTTCAATGTATCGCCTGTCAATATAATGTCACTGTCACTATAATATCAATGTCACTATAATGTCACTAGTCTTACGACACTGGCTTCAGTTTGTTTTTTCCCATGTTCATCTTTGACATTTTAATGGGAAGCCCAGACTTGAAAACATATTCACTTGTAAAGTCACCACTTTCAGATGACAGGTTAGTCTAACACTTTCCAATGACCAAGTCAAGAAATGAAGCAGATACATCATAATCATAGGGACTAGAAACTAATCCTAGTATAATCTAGCGGTGTGGCAAACTATTATATTTTTTGTGTGTGTGGGAAAGTCTGGGAAGCTGAACATTGGTTGGGGGGGGGGGATTTGTGAGGGGAAAAAAACTCACTGAAGAAGCATATGAATTTATGTCAATTAAAAATCTATTACTTCCATTTTAATTTGGGTGTAATACTACATAATGTTGTGTGATTTAAATACTGTTTAAACCAGACATATGAATATGAACTTAAAATATTTTTTTTGTTGTAATTTGCATGCATAATTCTTTCTGTCAATTGAAATCCTGTTTTATTTATTGAAAATGCACAAATTTTAATGTAATGCAATATTTATATAGTGACGATATTGTGAAGTAGTTGAACTTTTTTGTGTGTGTTTAGTTGTTTTATATTTATGATTATTATTTGGGGGGGTATGGGGGGATTATAGGACAGTAAGGCGTTTTGATGTTTTTCTTTAAAGTTAAAGTAAGGAATTGTGGGTTGTGCTTCTGTTCACTGACTTGTGTCGCAACAGGTCACCAACAGAAACTTATTTGGGAATTTTAGATCAGTGGCAATTCAACAGAATTTGCTAATCTTCAGAGATCTTCAACACGACACGCTGACCGTTTAACTTTGAAGCTCCGCGAATGTCACATTTATTTATTTATTTATTTAGGCATTTTTATATAGCGCTTATCATAAAGCTCTAAGCGCTTTACAATTATTAAAACATGTAAACTAAGTAAATACAAATGAGACACTAGGATAGTAACTACTATTCAAAGAGGACACTTTGACACTTCAGGATTAAACCGAAACAGAAAATTAGGTAGGGCAAGGAGGGTGCATCACAGGTCATAGGCGGACCTAAACAGATGAGTTTTAAGGGACTTTTTGAAAATGGACGAGGTTTCACTACGACGTATATGGAAGGGGAGCTGGTTCCAGAACGTGGGCCCATGGAAGCAGAAGGAGCGTTCACCGATGGTCTTAGTTTTAGTTCTTGGGATTGAGAGGGTTCTACTGTCAATGGAAGAACGTAGTTGTCTTGTGGGGATGTAAGGAAGCAACAGTTCAGAGAGATAGACAGGAAAGTGAGGGTCAGTGAACGAGTTGAAGCATAGATTGGCAGACTTGTATTTGATGCGAGAGGATATTGGAAGCCAGTGGAGTTGCTGCATGTGTGGTTGAATGTGGTCATGTTTCTTTAATTTAAAAATGAGTCTGCATGCTGAGTTCTGTGCCTTCTGAAGTTTGTCTATGTGAGCGCCGCCTTTATTCACCATGCCCATTGCCATGCAAATGACTGTACCTCAAACAATACTGGTACAACTGTACCGCAACAAACAATACTGGTATATCTGACGTATATTTTCTGTGATATTTAAAAAAAAAAAATGATTTATACATGAACATATATAATTATAAAACATGATCCATTGTTTTTTGTTGTTATGAATAATACATTGGTGGTGGTTTCAATCTCAAATTGAAATTTATTGTTGTATTTGTATCCTATTGGTCAGTGCCTTTGTGGGATGTATGTTTTGACATTTTACGTGTGATATCAGCACCGTATATTTGTATGTCTGACTCACGAGAAGGTGTGCAAGAGGAGAATCTGTTTCATCATTTTCGAGGCCTTATCCTCATTGGGGTAGCTAGGGTTTAAAAGAGGCTGGCACACCTGTTGACCCTCAAACTCTCAAAATTGTACACTATCATCGCAAAATCGTTCAATACATTAATCTTAATAATAAAAAAAAACCATACAGTATATATAACGTATATACCTCAAAATCGTACATTGTACACCAAAATCGTAAGAATAAACAGGTCTGGGTGGGTGGGGGGAGGATTTCTATAGTTGACCGTTATTTCGTTCATAGTAAGTGATTGTGATTTGTGGGGGCGGGGGCCTGTTGGGGAAAAGCGGATGAACAATTCAAAGAGAGATTTGATAAGATGGGTCTAAGGATCATAGTTATACTGTTTATTATTACAAAATTTCGCCATATCAAAGTGTATTGTGTTAACATATGAGCAAGTCAGGTCAAACAACACCGGGTTCTTTTTTCAATAGTGAGATTGTTGAATGACCTCTAGATGCTTTTTTGTACCGTAATAGGTTGGAAAAAGCTTGCTTGAGCCAGATAAGCAGGTCAGGACGACATGTTATGGACATTTCTGGCCATGGTGTACAAGGATCCAGATTGTTCTAGAAATGAATGGCTCTTCCACGAAAGTCACAATCAGAAAAAATAGAAGCCTTGTGCTCTGTCATACATTTTTGTTCAAGTGTGTAACGTTATTTTCATTAAGTCAGCAAAACAATTGATAAATTGCAACTATTGTTGAGTACTTTTGAAACTATAAAAAAAAAAAATGGATTTGGTTTGGGGTAGGGGTGAGGAGTTTTGAGATGACTGCCAAGGGACCTCACTCAAGTTAGCTATATTTTTATGCCCTGATTGTGACTAGCATGGTGGCTTCCATGAAACAGCCCGCCATATTGGTATTCATAATTAGGGGAGGACATGTTGCGATCATATGGGAGTTGACTCCCTTACATATTAGTGAACAAAGTAAGACTGCAGTAGGCGAAAATATATGATCACTTGATCAGTTTTTAGAAGTAAATATCAATGTTGGGATATTAAATTCATAGTTTCATATAATGCTTTTCAATGGCTATTTATGTAACTGTTTTTCGTTAAATATATTGTAAAACACACACAAGCAACATGTTTAAAAGAAAAAAATTAATCTTTAAAATAAAATGTAAAAACATAAAGAATTGTCTCTAATAGTAGGAATTTCATAGTGACACCCGCCCCCCCTTTTTTTTTTCATGACCTTTTTAATTTGAAATGATTTTAAAAAAATGTCATTTATATAGTCTAATATATTATATATATCACTTTCTCAATTATGTATGTAGTACAATCATGTAATTTTTGTACATGGATATGGAGAAAGGCAAGAGCACATTGCATCGATTTATTTGTGTTTTATTTTGAAATGAACAAAATTATGAAGAAATAAAATTTAAAATTGTACCACTACTGAAAACTTAAATGAAAAAATAGTTCAGGGGCGGTGGCTGTGAGTGTGTTTCATTGTGCTCTTCATACGTTCTACGTTGTAGGAACTTTCATTGCGTCAAAGTCATTTCACAGTTTGACTTCGACTAAGACGAGTTGCCATACAAGTTTAGCGAGTCCCATCCACCCCCCAATCCCCCTTGACGTTAACTATTTTGATGTGGCAAAATTTATTCCTCCCCCCCCCCCCCAAAAAAAACACGGCTCGCTCTAGTCAGTCACTCTTGGTAAGTTACAAAGGGTGCATACATATTGTATGCCCCCATCTTGCCACATTTTAGGTTTGTGCATTCAAAATTGGTAGTTCAAAAAAAGTTTGGCTGCCGAGCTGACATGGTACCCCTGGACAAGAAGAGATAGAGAGTATAAGCAAAGAGCTCACTTGGTGTCTCTGGTACAATAGGAGATAATTTATTTGCTATAGACATGTTGATGGCCCTTTTGACATATGATTTTGTTATGTTAAAGTTAAATATACCAAAGGATGCACAACTAACTTGTATAAGTCTGATTATAACATTGAAAAGTGAACACTTTGTCAAATGTTTATTTACTTTTATATATATATATATATAATATAGTATAGTATACATCTTAAATACCAGTGCTTTAAATTTAAAAAAAAAAAAAAAAAATTTTTTAAAAAATTATTATAAAATTGAAAAGTGAACATTTTGTCAAATGTTTATTTTCTTTTATATATATATATATATAATATAGTATAGTATACATCTTAAATACCAGTGCTTTAAATTTAAAAAAAAAAAAAAAGAGTTTTTTAAAAAGACTTGACAAGTCAATGCTCTGGGATATAAAACACAATTATTAAATATGAACACTACCAAAAATATAGTTAAAACAATTTAAATAACAACTTTTGCCATCATTATCTTTTAGAAGTAAACACCAGATGAGAACACATTTTTTAAATATTTTTTTTTTACACTAACCATATCTTGATTATAAATTCCACATGGATACCATTAATAAAAAGGACTGTTAAGAGGTAGGCTGCATCACATAACAATTAATACATTAGTAGTAGTATATTTATAATGAACGAAGAGCAACAAAAATATAAATATTTTACACAAAATAATATTAAAAATTAATATTACACAGGGCATGTTTACAGTAAAATTCTATAAGTATAAGGCTGTGAAGTGTTCATTGTTGTATCACAATTATGACATGAAATTAGAGTGTTGTAATTTTATGAAAGGTTTTAGATAATAAAATAATAATTTTTTAAAATAAATATTCTTTTCTCAAGTGTATTTTCTTTTCAAGATCCCTTCAATCCCTATGTTAAAAAGAAAAAAGAAAAAAAGAAAAGTAAAATTTATGGCAATGAGGAATTGTTGTCTCATTGTTTTCTCTGACAGTCTCAGCCTGCAGCACTCTACAAGTCCACGCTCTGAAGAACTGAGGTGATGCTCAACTGATCCAACCCAAAGTCTGTCTATATCTGAGGTGATGCTCAACTGATCCAACCCAAAGTCTGTCTATATCTGAGGTGATGCTCAACTGATCCAACCCAAAGTCTGTCTATATCTGAGGTGATGCTCAACTGATCCAACCCAAAGTCTGTCTATATCTGAGGTCTGGTATGCTGAAACAAATTAAAATCAGTCCTACATGTGTATTGTGTTGAATCAATCGTACATGCGTTGCGTTAAATCAATCGTACATGCGTTGCGTTAAATCAATGGTACATGTGTTGTGTTAAATCAATGGTACATGTGTTGTGTTAAATCAATGGTACATGTGTTGTGTTAAATCAATCGTACATGTGTTACACCAATTTTTAATCTAAATCCACGTAAAACCTTATGGTGGTTACATTTCAATGTGTTTCACAAATAACGCAGCAAAGACCATAGTCATTATATTGTATGCTTGTGGCCATGTGATATGTGACTATAAGTTACTATAAGTTATACTCTGTAGACCATTCCTCGGATAAAAACTGTGTCTCTCTGTTAAACATTCATTTCTATTTGGGATTATTGCCGTGTTCAACATTCATTTCTATTTGGGATGATTGCCGTGTTAAACATTCATTCCTATTTGGGATGATTGCAGTGTTAAACATTCATTCCTATTTGGGATGATTGCCGTGTTAAACATTCATTCCTATTTGGGATGATTGCTGTGTTAAACATTCATTCCTATTTGGGATGATTGCTGTGTTAAACATTCTTTCCTATTTGGGATGATTTCCGTAACTTTCATTATACATGGATGGTTTTTCATAACTTGCAATGAGATTAATCATTTCCTCCCATAAAATTACAATCTTGGATGGGGTATCTAAAATTTGGTGTATTCGGCCTATTATACTGGAGCCCACTGAAAAATCATTGAAAACATGATGTCACTTTGAAGCCCATTACAGTACTGAATAAAATTTCCATTTGATATATTCAAAATATATGACTTTGATTCATGATGCTGCACAGCGCTTACTCCCGTGTCATATATCAGGAGTCTGCGATCACTCTTTATGTGTGACCCACACAGAGTCTTATATTTGGAATCAGGGGTCATGGTCTATGTGTGACTCTACAGTTCTAGAGGACAACACCAGAGATAAGAAGCTAAAAAATTGACTCTCATCCTTTAAAAAATTATTCCATAGAAATAAACGAATCAAAGCTATATTTAATCTGCATCAACTTACTATGCTTATTTTGGGTCTTTGAATTTTAAACTCCTGCAAATAAAGAATAAAGAAACATTTAAAAAAAACAACTATATACTCAGGACAATAACAAACAATGAGGTGCAGAATATATATCATCTACCGTCAACTAAGCCAATTCTAAGTTATAAAAGTCAGCTGATTGTGAATGCTGGAGGAATTTAGGCAACTAAAGAGTCAAGACAATACACAATTTTTTAACAGCAAACAACTGTCGGTGCTGGAAAATGGGGAAATTAAAAAAAAAATGTGTTTATTGACCGACATGTAGATCATTTTGACATTAAAGACATATTCTGATTTCTTTTTTTTATAAAAGGGAAAAGGCTAAGTGGCACTGTTCAAATTGAACTTCAATTTTCTTCCATTAGCATTTTTTGACTAAGAGAAACTATAAGTATTTTCCAAAATTTGTGGGTTTGATTCATGTGAGAGAAAAATAACTAAACTCTCTCAAATTGTATCCCCCCCCCCCCCCCCCCCCCCCTCCCACTTTCCTCTCTCAAAGTTTGTAAAAGTAGAGTAATAAATAATATACAATGGTAAAAAAAATGAAGTGTGAAAATAAAAAAAAGGTAGACTCATTGTACACACGGGCCAGGTAATACTGGTAATAAGAATAATTAAAGCTAAGACTTATTATAGTAGGCTACAATTATGCAAATGGAAGGCCACTGTTATGCGTATGGTAGGACAACATGTCTCATCATAAAAACTCAACTAACCTCTCCCGAGGGGTCCAAAACTTTATACAAGAAATCCCAAGAAAAATTTCCTTGTTCTTGTCCTATGTATTTTGAAAAAGATAAATATGAAATAGAAGTCATAAAAGTGAATAGAAACAATGACAAAAGACACACCCGAATCACACTTAAAAAACACCTGAATCACATTAAAAAACACACCTAAATCACACTAAAAAAAGACACCTGAATCACACAAAAACACACCTAAATTACACTTAAAACACACCTGAATCACTAAAAAAGCACATCCGAATCACACTAAAAAACACCTGAATCACATTAAAAAACACACCTAAATCACACTAAAAAAAAGACACCTGAATCACACAAAAACACACCTAAGTTACACTAAAAATACATAAATTACACTAAAACACACCTGTATCACACTAAAAACACACCTGGATCTCACTAAAAAAACACCTGGATCTCACTAAAAAAAACACCTGAATCACACTAAAAACCACACCTAAATCACACTAAAAAAGCAAACCTGAGTCACACTAAAAAACACACATGAATTACACTAAAAAAATACCGTAAATAAGAAAAAATATATATATGACTTTCAGCTCTACGTTCAGATCAAGTCTGGATTAATGCTTTTCAGAACCCTGAGCACAGCTGACCAAGGGGCTGATATATTTATAGATTGAATGTTATGTAATTGATAGGAACAAAAATATATTTATTTGCAAGTTTGGGATACTGCATTTTATTTGAAGTCAAGTGTGCTACTTTCATTCTTTAACTTCTCCGTAATCCCACAAGTTTTAACTGTGTAATCTTCTATCTAAAGACTTGTCAACTCCTACTGAGTGGCACACCTTCTTTTCTCCTCTCCTGCCTGGAGTCGAACCAGGACGAGTCTCTGAACGAGTCACCTAATGGCTTGAACCCGCCATGACTTTTCCCCTCGGACGTTGACGGCTGGTGTAAATCATCTGGTATGTCTGTTGTACTCCAGGTGCCACGTTTTGGTAAAGATTTGGCAAAGATGCCATGGATGTGGCTGAGGAAGAAATTACAACAACAAAAAAAACATTGAAAATATGACCAAATCTTATGAGTGTGAAGATGACATCTCACTACAAAGTAATACTTGAAGCAATTAACAAAAAAAGATGTTGAAAATATGACCAAATCTTAAGAGTGTGAAGATGACATCTCACTATAAGGTAATACTTGAAGCAATTAACAAAAAAGACATTGAAAATATGACCAAATCTTATGAGTGTGAAGATGACACTTCACCATAAGGTAATACTTGAAGCAATTAACAAAAAAGATGTTGAAAATATGACCAAATCTTAAGAGTGTGAAGATGACATCTCACCATAAGGTAATACTTGAAGCAATTAACAAAAAAGACGTTGAAAATATGACCAAATCTTAAGAGTGTGAAGACGACATCTCACCATAAGGTAAGACTTGAAGCAATAAAAAGCCTAAATACTTCAGCTTGTGATTAAAAGTGAGTTATGAACATTAGGAATATTTATTTGAAAATTTGGTGGATGCTCACGCTTTGTTTCAGGGAGCAGGTTTTTTACTTTGTGCTCTCAATACGGAAGGTTTAGTTTGTTTCATGAGCGTGTTTTGCTTCAAGTTTTTAGCTTAGAAATCTTTTGTTGCTAACTGTTCGGTACAGGGGCGTTTTTTTTAGCATGGGAATTGACACATTTTGTTGCTCTCAGGAGCTGGAGAAGAGCTCGGTAGAATGCATCCTGTTGCTTTGAGTCGGGTCGGAAAGCAGTTTGCGTTAAAAAAAATTTTGTTTGTTAACATCGACTAACACTGTTATTTATTAAAAGAAATAAAGCATAGAAAACGTTACAACATTTAAAGAATTTAGACATCCCAATTGTTGGGCGACTAGATTGTCTTTATCTGTGACCGATTTACATTTTTGTTTTCTGTAACAAAATAATAAATAGCAGTACGCATTAGTAAATCTGTAAGTGTAAGATTTCCCTGTTACATGTATTTTGAGATGTCTGACTCAAGTGCTGGGCATTGAAATAAAACATGTGATTAGTCAGTGTGAAAAAACATGTGATTAGTCAGTGTGAAAAACATGTGATTAGTCAGTGTGAAAAACATGTGATTAGTCAGTGTGACTGTAACAGCTTTCAATAACCTTTTAACAAAAAATTACCTTTCATCATCGTCAGATTGCAGTGACCTTTTCACCCATGTTTTCGCTCGCCTCCGTTTCCATCGACAGGTTAAAAAGACAACAGCTATTGTCAGGAGGACAAACAGCGGGATGCCAACGGCAAGACCTATTATGAGACCCAGGTTGTCTGAAAATCAGGATTAAAAAATTTGATGAAAGAAAAATGGTATAAAAAAAGCTACATTATTAATTCTTGATTAAAACAATCTAAGACGTTATGCTTACATCAGTTAATCATGGATCACTTTGGGTTTCTTCTTCTATACATTAAGGGCCCACGATCAATGTATTGATCATTCTGACTCCTATTTATGAAGAGGGGATTCGCGATGTTTCTGTACCTGGTATTGAAGAGGATACTTCACTGGTTGCAAGGGCTACTCAGAGAGGGTATCATGCACTGGGGGTTGGAAGGCCCGAGGCAATAGACACAAATGTGTCAAGTGCTGTCGCCTCATTGTTCCTTTTGGAAGCTTGATCGACTTTGGCAGGAATGAACAGCCAAAAGATCCATCAATGGGAAACATATATAGGCCTACAGAAGGCCTGCACAACTCAAAATATAAGGTTTGCCATAATAAATTATGAAAAACTTGTGCGGGCCGAATGATGATAGGACAGGGGTGAAAGCTATTAAGAAAAGTATAATAATAAAGAATATTTCATTACTGCCCGGGGCACCAAGTGCATGCGGCCGGCGGGCCACATGTTGTGCAGGCCTGGCCTACAGGATACCAGTTGCTGACTTTTAAATATAATTGATTGTCCTCACAAAGCACCAGATTCCCACAGGGGACATAAGACCCTTGATCCAGCTAATCTTAGTGTAAGCGAAGAAAGCCCAAACTTAACAAACAATAAATAACAAGACAAAAGCTCTTGAAACTTTGACTCAAGTCAAAGCCTAGGCATATGGCACATTTACAACATTGAGAAAATTTCTTACCGTTCTTGATAGGTCTGGGGAGTTAGGAAAAAAAATTTCTCATTAATTTTTAGCCTGTGTTTTTAGCCTACATGAACCAGAAGACAAACAAATTATAAGTTCAAATGGACGGTAGTGGTCCTAAGTTTTTCCAAAGTCATTCGCTGGCTTATTGCATGGCGTTGACTGATTAATGGACTTTTGTATCGCAGAGTGGCAAAAAGGTTTAATTTATATGTAGTTTGCTTTTACCTTAATTAAACTGTTAAAATAACGTTCATTTCCCACTGTAGTAGACACTATATATCTGTACAACTATCATGGTGACAATTATAGATAGAAGTACATGCCACATGGTGTATGACATAAAATTAATGTCAGATGGAGGTGGCAGACCACAGATAGAGACTGGAGATCACAGATGGGGGTGGGAGACCACAGATGGAGATGAGAGACCACAGATGGCGGTGGGAGACCACAGATGGGGGTGGGAGACCACAGATGGAGATGAGAGACCACAGATGGAGGTGGGAGACCACAGATGGAGATGAGAGACCACAGATGGAGATGAGAGACCACAGATGGCGGTGGGAGACCACAGATGGGGGTGGGAGACCACAGATGGGGGTGGGAGACCACAGATGGAGATGAGAGACCACAGATGGCGGTGGGAGACCACAGATGAGGGTGGGAGACCACAGATGGAGGTGGGAGACCACAGATGGAGATGAGAGACCACAGATGGGGGTGGGAGACCACAGAGGGAGATGAGAGACCACAGAAGGGGGTGGGAGACCAAAGATCCTCTACTCTCTGGTGTCTTGGCGGTGGGAGACCACAGATGAGGGTGGGAGACCACAGATGGAGGTGGGAGACCACAGATGGAGATGAGAGACCACAGATGGGGGTGGGAGACCACAGATGGAGATGAGAGACCACAGATGGGGGTGGGAGACCAAAGATGGAGATGAGAGACCACAGATGGAGATGAGAGACCACAGATGGAGGTGGGAGACCACAGATGGAGGTGGGAGACCACAGATGGAGACTGGAGACCACAGATGGAGATGAGAGACCACAGATGGAGATCGGAGACCACAGATAAAGATGAGAGACCACAGATGAAGATGAGAGACCACAGATGGAGGTGGGAGACCACAGATGGATCTTGTGTACAAAAAGGGCTTTTAGATTTGCTGTGATATCAAACAGAAATATGGACCGGTACAATTTACCTGGATTTGATATAGAATGTAAAAGTGATAATAAATTATCAATTCAAGATTTGATGGGGAATAGGTGATTTCAGTCATACATTGAATTTGGGATGAATATAAATGGTCCTGTCAATATTTGGTTATGGGGGCTGATACTCATGGAAACAGTACCAAATAACAACTGCATGACATAACTACAGTACCCAATAACTGCATTACATAACTACAGTACCCAATAACAACTGCATGGCATAACTACAGTGCCCAATAACAACTGCATGACATAACTACAGTACCAGCCTTGTTTACCCTCAAACTCTTAAAATCGTACAATATCATCACAAAATCGTTAAATAAAACATCTTAATGGTAAAAATAAAAATAAAAAAAACAGTATATATAATGTATACCCCTCAAAATCGTACACTGTATGCCAAAATCGTAAAAGTAAACAGGTCTGCAGTACCCAATAACAACTGCATGGCATAACTACAGTACCCAATAACAACTGCATGACATCACTACAGTGCCCAATAACAACTGCATGACATAACTACAGTACCCAATAACAACTGCATGACATAACTACAGTGCCCAATAACAACTGCATGGCATAACTACAGTACCCAATAACAACTGCATGGCATAACTACAGTACCCAATAACAACTGCATGACATCACTACAGCACCCAATAACAACTGCATGACATAACTACAGTGCCCAATAACAACTGCATGACATAACCACAGTACCCAATAACAACTGCATGGCATAACTACAGTACCCAATAACAACTGCATGGCATAACTACAGTACCCAATAACAACTGCATGACATAACCACAGTACCCAATAACAACTGCATGACATAACCACAGTACCCAATAACAACTGCATGACATAACCACAGTACCCAATAACAACTGCGTGACATAACTACAGTACCCAATAACAACTGCATGACATAACCACAGTACCCAATAACAACTGCATGGCATAACAACAGTACCCAATAACAACTGCATGACATAACAACTCTACCCAATAACAACTGCATTGCAGAACAGCAGTGTTCAATTCTGTATAACAAAATAAAGTCTATTTAAAGACTAAAGGCAAGGTCAAAGTCCCCCTTGAAGCCTCAGGCAAGTTCAAGATAGATAATACCTTAAGATGATGGATCATAAATTGAATCTTAACATCGGCATTTCTCCCTTTGTCTATTTTAAATTTATTAAAAGCAAACGGAGCGCTAGATAAGGCATACATGTAGCAATCACGGCCATATGTTTGTGATTTAAAAAGGCCAGCATTTGTTGTGATTTAAAAAGGCCAGCATTTGTTATGATTTAAAAAGGCCAGCATTTGTTGTGATTTAAAAAGGCCAGCATTTGTTGTGATTTAAAAAGGCCGGCATTTGTTGTGATTTAAAAAGGCCGGCATTTGTTGTGATTTAAAAAGGCCAGCATTTGTTGTGATCCAAAATTGCAAGTGTTTGCTGTGATGTAATTGATATAAACAACACATATCTATTTGCAACTTTGGCATACTGCATTTACCAAATGCCAATTAAATTGACTAGCCAGGAAAGCAGGTTATTATATCACAACCAGGCCTTGCGCTCGATTGGAGAACTAATTGAAGTGTATTTCCTTTTTTTAAGGTACCGGTCAAAATAATGTGGAAGATGCCTCCGGTCACTACATCAAAGCTACTTGAGATCAGCTCGATCAGGGCGAATCACTCCTCAGAAAGTAAGGGCCAAAGAATACAGCATTGACCCGTATTTTTTCGGCTGTTATAAAATCCAAGAATCCCTATGATTTGGGAATTAGAGAGAGTGGTTTGACAATGTAGGAGCGCTGGTTTTTTGGCACTTCAAAATTTTTTTTGTTTAAAATTTCAACATTAGATTTTTTTTGCAGTTTTAAATGTTATGATGATAAGGATGTTTACTGTTCGTGTTTTAAAAAAAAAAAATGGTTAATAGGGTAAAAATGAAAATTAATAATATATTTTAAACATATTCGGATCAGTAAAATAATTGTCATCTTATCTTATAATATTTTGTGCTTAATTAAGCCAGCTAAATTTGAGGGCTTGGTGAGATAATAAATAATTTCATACTAAATGGATAGTTTCATACTAAATGGATAGTTTCATACTAAATGGATAGTTTCATACTAAATGGATAGTTTCATACTAAATGGATAGTTTCATACTAAATGGATAGTTTCATACTAAATGGATAGTTTCATACTAAATGGATAGTTTCATACTAAATGGGTAGTTTCATACTAAATGGGTAGTTTCATTCTAAATTGATAGTTTCATACTAAATGGATAGTTTCATACTAAATGGATAGTTTCATACTAAATGGATAGTTTCATACTAAATGGATAGTTTCATACTAAATGGATAGTTTCATACTAAATGGGTAGTTTCATACTAAATGGATAGTTTCATACTAAATGGGTAGTCTTATATTGAAAATGGGTAGTCTTATACTGAATAGATATTATTATCTCTTAAATATATTTTGCTTCTGGCGTGTCCAGCTTCCATTTCACAATGGGCCCTCCCTCTACTCAATCTGTGTTATATCAATAGTAATGAGTGAAAAAAACAAAAAAACTGTCAGGCAGAGAGCGCCATGCGTGACGGTTGAACTCAGTTAAAAAGACTGAATTTTTTCAGATACGACTATCATATTAATCAATAAATCACGGGTATGGTGTAGGACTGTCGGTAGGAATATTGTTTAAATGCCGGCAGGTAGGGCGTAGGCTTGTCTGTAGGACCATTATTTAAAGTCCGGCAGGTAGAGTGTGTAGGACCATTATTTAAAGTCCGGCAGGTAGAGTGTTTAGGGCTATTGTTTAAAGGCTGGCATATATTATATAAAATGAGAAGTTAACTCTTTTTTCGGTAGCACTTGGACTCACCGGGTATATTCTCCAAATACGCGTACTGGGTGTTTAAA